TGCATACAAAATGTGCATTTACATAAATGCCCCGCAGTATAATTATTATATCGTCAGAAAAAGTGCATCCAATAATTGCTCGGTGCAAATTAATGATTGCATGACGTCATTTCATGCACATTAATACACATACTTATTATTTTAGTATAAATAAAGTAGGTCTCACGAAGTAAGGTCTCGTTTAGGTACATATGTTTCCTTATGTTTTACATAAATTACTATACAGTTTACGTATGTTTACTCATTTTTATACACGTTATTTATATATGAAAACATACACATTTACATATGTGTTTTATATGAATTACTATAAAGTCAATTAAATGGGAAACGTGGAAAAAATTCGTATGACGAGTGTCATGCGATACGAAAAAACAGAGAACGAAGTTATTTTTCTATTCCGTATGAGTTCATAACTTGATACCGACATTAATCGACTTGTTTTCGTTGCAACCTTGTTGTGAAAGGGAGGCAAATAATACAGTGCACGCGAATGGTGAAAGTTCGCTTTCGTTTCCTCTCTTGTATTCGCCCTTTTTTCTTCTATTTCCACATTTCAAAGAGCGGGCATACCAGAAATTTCTTCGCCTGTAAAAACCTTTCGAATCAGCTCGCACGGAATAAAAGCGAACGTAAAAATGCAAAACGTAAAATTTCCAAGTTTATTTTTGTTTTCCAGATTTGTTGAGTAGCCTGCTTCTGTAGTAAGAACAATTCGTATTTTTCATTATTAAGAACTGTTCGTGCATTTTCTTAAATACCAAAGTCGAATACCGTTACCAACTGAAGTATTTTCGTTTTAACTGTTTGTGACCGAAGGTTGTAGATTTTAAATAAATTCCACGTATCACAGAACGCCCTGTATAATGGTAAAAGTCGTTTCCGCTTCTCGTGCAACTACCCAGCCGGTAAAAAATTAATTTACCCGCGTCGAGTCGCGGCGATCCTTGACTAATCACGAGGCCTAATCGGGAACGACGCACGACCGCTTTCTTTATCACATTCTGATCAGGGCCGGCCATTATTCCCCTCGAGACTGTCGCTCGCATCGCGAAAGTATTTTATTTCACTTCCGTGAGCGCCTCTGGACCTCGGGGCGCGCACCGATCGATCATTACCCCTCGACCTTCTCTCGATTTCACGTTTCTTCGTCCTTCTTGATCTTCATTATCACTTTATCGTCGTTCCTATTTGTCGCAGGCATAATGCAACGCATGATGCCAATGGCCCAGTCATAGGTAACTCTTTTCGATATTTTTTACAGTCGATTAACGTACTATTTAAACGATCGACAACGATTGTATGAAATTGTTTTATAATTACTACGATGACGTTGTATAATGTTAACGACAGTATACTCATGACAATGACAATGACAATGACAATGACAATGACAATGTATGAACAATTTGAAAACATACAAAGTTTCGCAAAAGAGCGCGCAAAAATATCGCGGAAATCGAGAAACTCCGGCATTAATATCTTCGTAAATATTTTGTCACGGAGTTGATGAAAACATGGCGATTAATATTCCGACGCGTCGAAAGGTTACCATGGAATATTCCGAGTAATTGCGCAGCCGTGTTTCATCAGCCGTAACGAGACAAAGGTACAATAAAAGTAAATTCATTTATTTATTTCACTTCCGCGAGCGTCCCAAAAGCACGGGGTCTCGCATCGATCGATCGTCACGCTCGACCTTCTCCCGATTCCCGAGGTCAATCTCACCGCTGGATCACCCCTTCGTCTTTCACCTCGGAGACATTTATTTTCCTTTACGTACCTACGGCTCCTTTCGTCGGGATTCTCTTTCTTTCGCTGACTGATTGCTCGCCGATCCACCCGCCCCGTGTTCTTTCGGTTCCGAACGAGGTCACGACACGCGTGGCAGTCGCAATTTTTCTTTAAAACGATGTCGAATCGACGTGCCCCGTGACAAGTTGCCCCGGCCCGTTCCACGTCGGAGATGCGGCAGAAATGAGACAGTAGTTAAAACATTGGATGGTTGGTGGGCACCACCAATAGCTACGCCGAGATGTAAAATTTGATGGGTGCAAATGTAGTTGTCACAGATAAGATTCAAGATATTTCTTCAAGGCTTCTTTTGGGAAATTATCAAGTCGTACGATAAATAATTTTATATTTATTGATACATATCTTGAAAGCTAGAAAAGTAATATTTGTAGTGTTATTTCATTCTTGATATAACATTCTTAATACTTCTATTATAAAGTATTTTGCTGAAAACATTATATATTTTTAACTACATCTTTAATTATATTTTCATTGTGTATGCATATAATTTATTTTAGAATACATATCTACACACCATTATATATTTAAAAATATAGGATGTTCTGTAGTGCAATGCATAATATTTAATATAATAGACAATTATATTTTATAATGAATATAGAATACATACAAAAAACAATAACAATGTTATAGTAATATATGTATTTTAAAATATTATTATATATTCATATATTTTTTCACACAATACTTATATATATATTCTTGTGTTACCTGTATGTATTGTACAAAATGTTTTATAAACCCCTCTTCTTAGGATTATTAAAATAAATTGTGTAAATGTAACTCTTTAAAAATTGCCTACCAAATACGTGAGCTCAGAGTTGCAATCAACATTGGCAACAAACGTTTATTTCGAACTTTGATTCCTCAGAAATCTTTGCCCAACAATCATTATATTTATAACCGTCCGAAGTAATTATTTTTGGAAAAGATCCAAATTCTAGTCCAACAATGTCGCGTGACGTGCAACATGCATGGCATACATCCACAGGATGTAAACAAATTTTTCAATTCGCGAATTTCAAGTACGAGATTCTAAATTTATCCACTACCAGAGTCATTTTATTTCTGCTACCTTTAAATCGCCTATCAGTCTCTAATTTTAGTTTAAATCTTAACCGCGTCTTTGTTCCCGAGCCTTATACTTTCTAATTGGCTCGAGAGCTGCTAACTTTGCTCGAAAGTTGCTTATATACGACGAAGGTACGCGAATCCGGTACCTGAGAAACGGTCTAATAATACACGTCATATTTGGCCTGTAGCGACGCGTCAGCTAGTTAATTAATGCGCGAAGTTCGAGCGCTGTTCGTACCTGTTAGCAAATTTCCACGCAACTTCCACGCTGGTGGTTCGCTACCTTGAATCGGAGTTAGAATACTTAATTTGCTTGGATAGGTTTCACTGTCAACGGAAAAATTCGTCTTTCGAAAAAAAAACCTCCCACTGATGCACATAGCACTTAGATATGGAACTCGATGGTATCATTTTATCAACGCTGTCCTTTGTCGCCACCTAATTAAACAGACAGTATCAGCGAAACATATGGCGATCAATTAAAGTGGAGTGAAAAATGAATTTGCGTCATATCTCTGATTTTACGATACTTGGCTTATCAGTTTATCGTGAAGTTGGGAAAAATTTGTTAAAAAATCTATCGATACAGTTCTTGTATAAAAATGTACGAGAAACTGACTTTTATATATATATGTATATTGATTAGGTATATAAATATTAAGTGTATGTATTTTATATAGCGATTATAAATATTTGACTTTTCATAAAGTATTTTATAAAACCGTCCACGAAACATTTTTATTCAAACTGAATTTTAATGCTAGACCGCATTAAAGATTTGTTTACAAGTCTTATTTTTAAAAGAAAACTTCCTATAATAACATTTTCTGGAGATCCGTTACGATAACAATATTGTATACATAAATTTTGAAAGGATAAATATACCGACAAATTCCAGAAGCGTGCGTAGTAGCCAGAATGGGTGGAAGGTATAATAAAAGTAAATTCACAAATCATCCCCTTTAGGGTACAATCTACTTTATCTTGGTTGCTAGATGTGTATCAAGTAAGAAGGGGGTGTCTCTCCAGAAAGAATAATTTAAGGCATGTAGACTCTACATTGTAGAGGTGACTTACGGTAAGGTGTCTGACTATTGCCGACCATTTCTACTTGCGTCACAGTTCCGTATGTATTGTCGGTGGTACTATCTGTTATACCGTGACACTAACTTTAGCAATTACGAATGCTTTGAATAAAATTTCGTAGAAATATTTTAAAGACCTCGATACAAAAAGAATCTATTTTTTAACACAGAAAAATGAGTAGTTATTTCGATTGCTCGAAAGAAATACACTTAGCTTTGTTGTGCCTCTTTCTATGGAAATTGATACATCCCGAGCCCACGCACAACGAAATGGGACTTTGATTACGGAAGGTTTCTCCGAACAAGGGGATTATTTATGCGAACATCCTTCAAAAGCGCTTTCCATTTCCCAACGCCTTCGCGCTGAGCACTTCAGCTTTATCTTCAAACTACGGATAGTTAATCTCGCGATTTAAGAATCTCATCCTTTAAGGAAAAAACACGTTCAAGATGAAAACAAAGACTGTTCATAGTTGGAAATATTATCACGCATAATATGCATTCAATTCATTACATTAATATACAATATTAAATTACACATTTTCAATATAATATATTAATATATATTCGTGTATATTTCGAGCGAATAACACTCTGACCACACTATTATGTTTATTATATAATATAACGTATTCTTTTAATCTATTTATGCTAACATAAATTAATACAAATTAATGTAAACGCATTATATTAAAATATATCATATTAAAGTACACTTCGATATAATATATTTCTGAGCACACTGGAATCAGTGGAGCATCGAATACGTAATTATATTATATCAAAACATGACGCGTAAACACCCGTTATACTGAAAGCTCTCAAAACTCATTTTGATCTGGCAAATCTACGAAACATGTGACGATCGCATCGGAAACTAATGGAGAAACTAATTCGCATACGAGAACGGGGGTGGTCACTTTCACCGTGTTATCGCGTATCCGGCGATTCGGGGGTGCTTTCAGGGTGAAAGATGCGCTTGCGCGAGCCACGCTTACTTATCCGAGCCAGAACGACGCGCAACAACCATGCGAGCTTCAGTTTTCAGCAGGGTCTCGTCGAGGAAAAAACCGATCGTCGCTCCGTTCGACCTTGCCAAAAAGTTTTCGATCGTCGTCCGCGACGCAATCGACGCTCTTCTACATATACGTTTTCTTTTTTATTTTTAATTTTGCTCGACGCGACCGTAATTGTGCTTCAGCATGTGAGTCATTGGAAACAATAGAGGAAAGAAGCGATCACCCGTGGAGTCGTCGCCGATCCACGTGTGAAGCAAGTGCGCTCTTTCGTGTCTTTTGGTGTTTTGTATACGAAAATCGTTTTTATTATTGGTTCGGTACTGTGAGGAGTCGATGGACGTTCGTGGGGTGATTTTTTAACTGAATATTTATCAAGGAAATGTCATTGGTGCGAGAAAGGAAGTGATTGGTAATTGCAAGTTTGATTGAGTTTTTTAAAATTAAAAATCGTTGTCATTCGTGGTTTCTCAGGCATGTAGTTTGCTGGAAATATCGTTATTCAGCTACTCGAGAGAAGTGACAAATTATTTTATACGTTTTTTCTCGCGAAGATACGTTGTTAGTTATTTGTTGTTACATATTTTGTCTATATTTTTTTTTTAATTATAGTTAATAGTTTTACTTCATACTTACGCATTCAAGTTAATGCTCATGCATTATATTTAACAATGACACATCATACACAAACATTGCGTCAAATAATCGTACATTATAATAAAATATCATGTACAAAGTTTATACTCGAACATTGTACGTAAAATATTATTTTCAAGCATGATACTCAAATCGATATACTCAAATAATTCGTTATTTAAACTGGAAACAATACACTCAACTATATTCAAACATTACATGGATACATAACGTGTACTCGAAATTACATTTATCATTGCACTCAACGTTTATTTCCAAACAGTTTTTAAACAAGAAAAACCAACATTAATTCCTTCCATTAAAAGCTCTCTTTATCACTGGTACAAAAACCCTGGGAAAACTCTAACGAACTTCATGCTCGAGGGCTCGCGAATGGCTTTACTCATTCCAAGTAAATTGATTAATTGAACCACGGGACGAATTCGAGAAAAATTGGAATGCGAGGGATTATTTTCGGTCGTGAGTTTTCGAGAGTACCCGGTCACAGATTGTTGAGTATCCGGTGGTGATTCAGAGGACATCGAGCCATTCGAACGAGGCTTCCAAATGCGCGCACGAGGAAGTTGAAGAAAGAAGAGTTCCTGCGAGGTTAGAACGGTGTTTCCTGCGAGAATATACGACGTGCTGTATGGAAACGTCAGCCCTCCCAGGACACGATGAAGCCGTTCAGAAAAATTCCACCGAGCTTCTTGATCGGGGTTTCATGAACAGCTGCCCGCCAAGCAGTTTCCCCGACAAGTTTCAAGACTTCTTCGCTGCCTTGAACGAGGATTCCGACGACCTTCCCAGCATGCTCGAGGACAAGCTAATACCGAGGTAAATGAACGTCATGGATTGTTTGTTTAATCACAAGAGAACTTTCCGATAACCCTACAACGGGATAAGTGACTCTATCGAAATGACGACTGATTGTGGGACTACTAGTTCCACTTTATTCAGAAACATTATTCAGGAACACGAGGCGAGTAGTTGGAAAGGTGGTTCCAAGCTTTTCAAGCATCCTGTGCCCCCTAAATTGAACAAGATATGCGCCACTTGTTCACGTGCTCGCCGTGCGCTGAGACACGATCCCATAAACTTAAAGAAATTTATTTAAAAAATTGAACAGATTCAATTGTACACTCACGTGATTGCAAGCTTCTATTAATTTGAAACGTAGAAAAAGCGTCTAGTGTCGACGGAACTTCCCTCTGCTGTAAATAAAATGTAATTTCGAGCTTCCTGCTTACCGTCGATAGAAATATATATATATATATATATCAAAGATTCGTCGCGAGGAAAGGAAGCATGTCAGACTTGGCAAGTTTAATCTTCTTCCGTGTAAAAATTACACGAACCACCTGCATCGGCTTTCCATCTCTGGAAAGAGCCTGGAACGCGTCGCGCGCGTCAGTTTTAATGAGTCTTCTTGAAAAAGAGAACCAATACCGGTGACCTATTATCTGAATTTTATTTCATCTACTTGGAACAAACCCCCGACGACGAGTCCCCTCGCTTCCCAACAGTAATTACGTTGTCGTTATTACGTGGGACCGTAATTGCAATCGGTTTAGAACTAAATTAAAATTTTGTCGCGAAAAATTTCGGTAGGAAATATATAGAGGTGTATGTAGTTTTTTTTTTTTTTTAAACTTCAGCAGTAATTTAAACGAACGGCTTCAATCGTTAACCAGTCCAATCTAATTCCATCAAGTTTGAGATAATAGCGCATTCGAAATTTGAATTTGTTGCAGCGATTTAATTGTAATGAACGGTTGGATCTGCGCTTCCCTCTAACGCGGAAGTTAAATCCATTACGTAAATGGCACATAGGTACAACTTCGACGTTTGATGCGTTTTCTGGAGCATTAATGGAGGTTTGATTACCGCGAAACGTACAGTGTTCTGTTAGACTTGGACTCTGTCGTGAACTTTCTCGTGTTGAATATTCAGCAGTCTATCCACTGTCCGTAGCACGTGTAATCGGTGGATTGAAGGACTGAGTTGCATCGAGGATGTCGTCAGCTACTACACTCTCGACTTTCGCTGATTTCCCTTGAAAATATCAGAGACATTGTTAACACCGAAACTAGCAACGTGGTTGCTTTAATTTACGTTCTCGATTATGTATTTGGTTACATACAAAGATTTTGTCTAAAATCAGGCAATTATTAACAACGATTATACTGCTACTCTTACGGATAATTATCTATCATGGCAGAGAATTATTTTAGTATTTAATATTGGTAATAATGTTTATGAACATTTTTATTTTAATTACAGAGACGTAATTGTATGTGTTTATAATAAGTATACATTGACCTCGATAGTTATAACTTTAGCAAAACATTCCCTGTACGTTGCAACAGATAGTTCACATTCTCGAGCCAATAATGCAATAAAATGGCGGTCGTGTCTAATCGGCTGAATGCGTGGTTGCTCTGCAGCGTAAACCCGAATCTAAGAGTCTTCCGCTCGAAATGGTTTCGTTTCACATGAAAGACCATCCGGCGTGGCACAGGGCTCCGTACGTGTCCTACACTTGTACGAATTCGCCTGCGTTCCTGAATGCGGGAAATGTGATTTCATGATAAAGTCGTAATGTTGTTCTCGGCGTAGTCTGTTCGCGAACAACTCCAAGTGCTCCATTTGCAATTCGCCATTCCGAGCGGTCGTTCCACGGATACGAAATGGCTGTTCTCGTGTGGAATGCTATTCAGGAACACCGGGCGGGTAGTTGGAAGGGTGGGTCCAAGCTTTTCAAGCATCCTGCGCCCGCTAAATTGAATAAAATATGCGTCGACGTGGGTACGCGAGTCGATCCTTTCGAGGTAAACAGTGCTTATCCCGATGGAACGTGAGAAAGGTACGGCGCGGGACTGTAAAGATTGCACCTGACGAGAAAAACACTCAAACTGTGCTCTCTTATTCTGATAAATAGCTGTATTCTTGACATTTGTAGGTCATATAAAAAAAAAAAGTAAGGTATATACAATGATAGATTGTGGATATTTATGCATTTATAACAAATATAAATATACAAGGATGTTAATAATTACATAAATATATGAAATACGTGTTACGATATTTAGAAATTAATAGATACTTTACTTCACGTTTTTATTCTTTATTTATTTATATAGAAATTTGAATTTTTACGAACATCCGTTGGGTAATTATTATGTATTCTCAATTCTAGATAAGACTAATGATAATAATAGTAATAATAATAACAACCTCTTCTACCGATAACCGACTACACGAAACACTACGATGTAATAATACCTCGCTGCTACCATTATTTGCCAATTACGGAAATGAGAAAGAAAATTCGAAACGAAGCTTCAATTAACTTCAAAGCCCTCTGAAAAATGAATTCTCCTATCTATCAGGTTGAAAACGTGCCGCGCCAATTCGTCGAACGCGTCTCGAACTATCGTACAGTTATTCGTATTTATCTACCGTTCGAAACACCTGCGGCAATTCCCTCGACTCTTTGGTAAGAAAACAAAGTGGTGACAGTTGAATTAACCGCTACTTAAATTCACATCGGAAAACGCCGAAGGCAGTCGCGAACGTCGAAAATCCATTATAACAACCAACTATCAGCCACGAGTGAAAAACGAACGTTATCTCGATGCAAATTCTGGCGAGTAAAAGCTTTCACTGATTCGCGTGAAAAGGGAAAGGAATAAAGGGCCACCCTCTTTCGAGCACTCGACCCACCTTGTTAAAAATCGCCTGTTTGCGTGGCGACGATAAGGAGCCAATTACTTACACAAGAAGTGGGCAGCCTGCTGACATCGGAAGGTCACATATCACTTTACAGAAATTTATATTTAGAATGGAGATACTTTCTTAAAGATAATCGAAGTGATAGAATACAGAATATAGAATATAGAATATAGATTGCTAGGAAACAAACGTTGGACCTTCCGCAATCAATTCCTTATGTAAATAAAAATCGAAATGTCCTTTTCCAGTTTTTAATCCTGGGCTTCGTTATCGAGATACAAGCAGTTCAAGTTTTTGCGCCCGCTATCACGAACGTACGCGCCGCTGGAATTTAAGTGGCGCGCGCGCCGTGAATGAAATCGTATAAACTTTTTAATTGCCTGTATGTTGGTAACGAAGCTTCAGATTAAAAAAAAAATGGAAAAGGACATTTCGATTGCTTGTTACGCGAGAAATGAATCCTGAGAATTTGATTCCATTTCCGTTTAAAATAAGTATATTACTACAGTGTATTAAAAATGTTGTTATCACATCGAACAAGTGTCTTTGAATTTACAAACAAAGTGGATACGTAAATGTTGAATTGAATGGAATGCAGATTTTTCCCCATCTCTGATTTGCCATTTTTTGCGCCAACTCGTCGTCGATTTTCCAGACAGCAGGATACCCCCGACTTCGACTCGAAGGGCAGACGATGGAGCAAGAAGGCCTTTCAGAGGAGGAGCAGCGAGGTCGAAGTTCGTCTGCATCGCACCTCCTTGACAGGATCTCAAGGTCACACCACGGTGGACGGCTCGAAATCACCGACCCCTTCCAGACGACGTAGTTGTAGCATAGCTGTGGCCAGACCTACTCCAGACTTGCACAGGTAATCACATCGATTGCTCGAACGTACCACGCGATACAGACGACTCCATCCCAAATCGATCACCTCACCTTGTAAAAAATTGCGTGGGTTCAATCCTACATTGAGATGTTAATAATATTATAATTTTATCGAGATAAATATTGCGAATACATATAAATGCATTTATATATATATATATATATATTAATACAATTGATAAAATAAAATAATAACAAAGATATATAGCGGAATAAAGAAATGTTGGAATCGCTGATGGAACTGAGGTTGTGTAATGAAAACGTATAATTTAAATGTGTATTAATTGTATTAATTAATGTGTGTATATTATGTACATTATATATATATATATATATATTCATAATGTGAATAGCCTATACATTCGCAAATATGCATGGCTCGAGAAATACTTGAAATAAATTTGTTTCTTTGCCGAAGGAGAATAATGGGATCCTATTTGCGTCAAAGTATCGCACAGTTAAGTTTCTGCGTCTAATTATTGCTCCGTGGAATCTCTTTTTAATCTGAACTTTTTACAGGGCAATACTTGCGCAGCGATTTACGTAATTGCTTCTTCATTCGCTTTTATGACATGAAAGTTAAATTAGTTCGAAACTTTTCAAATTACTGCCACGGCCCTATGCAAATGTCCTTTAATCTGCCCGAAAGATATTTCTATAAATAAACAATATAGCGTTTTCAAAGTGGCATCCTATTGTCTTGTAAAAAGTTCGCGTGTAACGCGCACGTTTTTTTCTCTTTTCTTTTCTATTTCAATATTAATATTCGCTGTACGAGTTTTTCCAGCTACCGTAGAATTTGTTGCTTTAAATATTAAATCGTCACGATTGCGTAATATCGTTTCTTTGTTATTTTTTTTTCGCAAATTCTGTGTTCACAAATACGGCAGACTTGATTCTTGAAAAATGTACGAGTAACGATTGAGGTAATCCTTATGAGAAATTAAATGAACGAAGTTCAACGTAAAGTTAGTTAACGTAAGCTGAAAATTAGTAATACTTTAGTTGTAACTTTGATGCAATTATTATCCGTGTCGCTAACAATTAGAAGTGACGAACCATTATGTCGAAAGTAGTGCTACTTGATTACGACGCGTTAGCTTGGTACTGTTGACCAATTTCCCACCTTTCAAAATTATCGTAGCAACAAATACCCAGAAAAACACTGCTCGGAAACAGTCAACAATATCGAATAAATAATTTTTATAACTCTTGATTCACCAGAGTGAACAGATAAAAATTACATTGATAAGATGTGTTTTCTGTATATGTTTCTGTTCAAAAGTGATTATTTTCGAGCACTGTTCTTTGTATTTCAACTGTAAACAAACACTGTTTACGAACAATAGGTTTCTGCAAGCGGAGGCAGGCCCATGGGGGCACTTGTCACCCTCGCCCAGAAGCCCCACGAGGACTCCGGCCATAAGTCCTGGAGCAGCCTCGACCTCGTCACACCTGAGTCCAGGAACTAGCTCCGGTGGTCCTAGTCCGACCAGTCCAGCTGGTCCCGCAGGTTCGACGTCTGGATCACGTGCTCCTGGACCAAGGCAATATCGCGGAAGGACCAGTAGCATGCCAGCAGTTCCACGACACAGAGTGAGTTTTCAACCGACTTCGAAAAGGAGGAGGTTACTCGATTCGAGATGTATATTTTTTTTATGTATGTTACCCGATTACGCCCACGCGGCTTGACCGATCGATATGAAACCTCTTGCATCTCGTAGAGCATGCCTCGTGAGTGGTCCCATTGTCAAAAAATTTTTGTTCCCAAGTATCGACGAACTGTGTACTATGCAGAGATGAGAAGTTGGCTAGTGTCTCCGATTGGTAACGGTATAATCGTTTTCACTACACCATAGAATTCTGTATTATAATTTATACCATAGTATGATCTAGAAGATTATATGATCTGTTACCAATCAGACTCTCTATTCATCTTCCCATATCTGCACGGTAGTTACTAAACTTTCAAGTTTAACTCGATCGACCTTTTTTACAATAAAAATTGGAAAATTTGCAATTTGGGAGCTCCTGTGCAGACCTGGCCACTTTTAAAGTGATAGTATTTGAGGTATTGTTTTGGCCACCCTCAGACGTTAACGACAGGCCTGGTTCAATTATCGAGGTAAAGTTTCGATCACTTAGCGAGGAAATGCTACAGTAAGAATAGAGTCCGCGTTCTGTGGCTATTGTTTAGCATTCCTTTCACTGCAAACGCACCCGTGCTTGCAAATGGGATCATCCCCTTTAAGTTCGCAGATTATCATCCGTACACCTGAAAAGCTTGAGCAAACTACTCCTCCGTTTACAATGGTACTACGCGTTTGCAGCAAAATCAATAACGTTGTTGTTTCGTTAATTTCCGGCACGACTGCCGCTAGTCCCCCGAAATATATGTAGTTGGCTGCAGGGATGTTTACAAACTAATCCACTGCGTGGCGTTTCTATTCCCGATCCATTAGTCGGAATAAAATTTGTTTCTCATCGGTGAAGTGCTATTGTCGAAACCTAACCTCGAGTGATACTCCATTACGGAATATAAAAAGAGGGTTGATGCCGGGCATTTAATCAGTAATGCAAGATATCATAAATCATTGACGATAACGTTTGATGGACACTTGTATTAGCGATGCTGATGGAATACCAGCTATTCCCTGATGAATCGTACTGCGAATTGTTTCGTAGAACAGCTCTGATAATTCCTGAAGAATAGACGTTTCTTCACTGAAGAAACTCGAATGATTTACACATGATTTAATGTGTCACGATCAGGAAAAATTTTAGAACGACATTCAGATGTAAAAGAAAAATATATAATTCGTTTATAATGAAACAAAAACAAGTCTTATTTAATATACATATCGAATCAAGAGAATTCTATTTAATTATACATAGATCATGTATTTGTCTGTACATCTAAAGAAAATCAGTACATTTATATGATATAAAGAACATATACGTGGTCAACAAATAACAATTTATACATTCTTCGTTAGAAACAAAAACATTCTTCGCGAAACGTTAATATCACAGCAAAATGGTATTCCCCATCATTGTTTAAATAATAAGTGTCGTTAATAATTAATTTAACTGTTGTCAGAAATTAATATTTGGTCGATGCAATCAATAGATATTAAAATATTGACGAAATTCTCACGATTAACAGAAACAGAACACTTATTGATATCAATACAAGACGTTTAATGTCAACAATCACAATACACTCGAAAGGACAAGCGTACCAAAAATTCATGGACATCACAGAACGCTTTTAGGAAATAAAAAAGAAATGTTCGTCGGGGTCGTTGAACGTCTCGCGATCGATTCACGCGTTAATTTCGACACCCAGACCGACTTTGTGACCGCCTCTTGTAACGTTGGCGCAGTCGATGTTGCAGGACAAAGACACGGTGACGCTATCGTCCAGTTTCTGCTGCAAGCTCATGCCTAATTGAAAGTCGGTGTTGAATTTGAAACGAAAGGTCGACGTGTCGTCGATTTTGCACTTGGCCGCCGCTCCGAGAGTCCATTCTTGTGCGTTGCCGTTAGTTGCCAGGATTCCGTCAATCGCGGCGTCCCAGAATGCGTTCACTTTGATTAATAAAAGAAGCATTACTTTATCGGTTGCTATGATACGGTAAAAATAAATGAATAGGTAGGATTTAACAATTAGAGAGATTTTTGTGTTGCGTGCTTTGAGAAATGATCGATATGCAAAATTGCCGGTTTATTAATCAAGTTCATCATGAATAATCATGTCAAATAATCATGTCATTAATCGTGTCAAATTTATCCATGAATTTATTATCAAATTTGTTACATTCGTTATGAAGTTCATTAAATTTATTATGAAATTAATCCTCGAATTTACCATCGAAATTAAATTTACCGTGAAAATTGTTATACCGTATTTATTAACGGAAGAATATGTTATCGATAACCGTAAATGGACTGGCATTATATTCAAAGGCTTATCGAACATTATAACTAATATAAATAAAACGATACAAGGGATGCAATTTTCCAATTTTTTCAATTTTTTCAATTTTTTCAATTTTTCTTTCGTGTTTGCACCGACAGTGACGGTTTTTGTGCGTTTACGACACGGGCTTTGACTTATGATGCATGTTCCTGATTAGAAGCACGATTTGGTGCGTAATAGGCGTATCGAATGAATTTAATTGGGTGTTCGATTACAGCTTGCGCCGCAGCAAACGCTGTTGCAGCGGATCGTAATTGTAACCCTCGTGTCGACGACCAGTTCAATTATCCGGCCTGATATTATCACGCACGCTGATTAAGTATGCACTGGCATAACCAAGAGATTCGAAATGCCCTAAGGCGCAGAGTTATTCGTACGTTGAACGAGCCTGGGCAAATTTCCATTCAAGTTAAAATGAGAAATTATTATTTAATGTAATAATTTATTTTGAACCATTATTTACAGTACAATTATTTGAAAATAATAACATCAATTCATTTGAAATAATAGCTGACTCGAGTAACGAATTATTTTATTTCACTTTCTCGTTTCAAATTTAACGAAAGAAATAATATTCGAAATGATTTGGAAGAAGTTTCATAATTATTTCAGCTAATTATAAAAGGAAGTACTTTAGTATTATATAAATTCAGAAGTTCCCAGAACCTTGAACAGTCGATACATTTTTAAACAAAAATTGTACGAACTCTATGCACTGAAGCTTCGGATTCGATTCGGACTTTTTAAATAAATAATGTCCTTCGGGAGAAAAAAAAAATTATCCCTCTCAATTTACACTCACAAACTTCATTATTGGCAAGAAGAAGACGAATAATCTACGTCTCCCGCCGCGATAAAGCCACTCGAGCATTTATTTGCCAGAAATATTTTCCACCCTTACCGCCCACGCTTATATTCGGTTACGATTGGCCCGTTAATTACACTCTGCCGCGCGGAATGTGAACTCGAGAGTGTATAAAATATGCATAAACGCGACGAACACCCGTTTCGGTTTATCGCGGCCGTACCGCGATCGCGTCGAGCGTATAAATAAAGATAAGGCTACCTGGACGAACCTTTCCGTAGCAATAATAATTTCGATACAACTTTTCATCCGTAATCACGAATATCGATTCCGCGGGACTAATAACGCCACCCTTGACGGTGAAATTGCCACGTGGGTTTATTCAGCTCGTTGCGAATCTGCCTACGCTTTATCATCCCTTGTTTCTGCTGAATCGAAATTGCAAAGGGGGTACGTAATCGTCGCGATAAAGCGACGGAGGATCGAGCGTATAAACAAGTCAAATGTGGGCTGGATAAATGGCAGAGGGATGAGAAAATTACCAAAAAAATGAAAGTGCGATTATTACTATTCTTTACCGTACACTTTTTATTTTTTAGAGTGGTTCATTTGTGAGCCGTTAGGGGAAGCAAACTGGTAATCAGCAGGCATTGTTTACGCAAATATTATTTTATCACGAAATAGGTAACATTAATATTATTATTCCGCGCGTTCTTTTTATTTTTTATTTTCGTTTCTATTGTCTAAGCATTTGTTTATAAGGTTTCAGTCAAAGAAATATAAATTAACAGTCAGTTTTCACTATTTAAATAAATTTTATATATATATATAAACAAATTCTTACATAATAAACTACTTTTTCGCTTATGAAGAGTAATAAAATTTGTTAACCTTTGTACAGAAGAGAAAGTCCGTACTCGATCGGTATCGAGGTACATCGAAAATGAAAACCAACATCACGGTAACTGAAAGCTACGCCAACGTCGTTTTTCGTCAATTTGTTCATTTCTGTGCTGTAGCCACCTTGGTAGCCGACGGTGATGCCCTTGAAAGCGGTCACTAACGACCCCAAAATATCCACGTTCATATTCTTGTCACTGGCTGCAAATGAAACGTTTGAATCGTATTATTTAATATAATGATTATATTATTTAATATAAAACACTTACAGTGTCACAATTAAATTTGATTCGAAACCGAATGTTTGCAGTAAAATTCTCATTCGAAAACATTAATAACACCATTTTTAAATTAAACGAGATACGTATGAAAAAATTACGTCGGTGTCGCAATGAAATTCTATTTCAAACCGTGTATTTGCGATAGAAGTCTCGTTGAAAACTGCGAGGAAATAAAAGTTGTTCTTTTTTTTTTTTTTAAGTAAATGGTTCGAACCTTCGGTTTCATGGAAAAAAAGTTATAAATATTAAACGCTATTTTGACCTAGTAAAGTGACGCGATCGTATAAAAAGTTTCTGCCATCAACGTTATCGAATACTGAAAACGAGCGTTAAAGAGAATTTTTTTTCCCCCCAACTCTTTCGATGGAGAATATAATTGAAAAAATTGATTTTTTAAACTACGTCGTAGATAAAATGAACGTTTTCACTCCGCTCGAAGTGTCAGGGCGAAATGTTGCCAAACTCACCTCTAAATACACACGCTTATTGCGTTTGCATAAACTACATTCAAACAACAATGTTTTCCCATTACATTTTCTGCAAGCTTCCAAAGTTCAACCTTAAATTCTAGGAACAAGTTCCAATTATCGCATAGAGCAACGCGAAGTGTGCATATGCAAATGGTGCC